TTTTTTTTTGGTCACACTCAAATAGTATATTTTAAATTATAAAAGATTGACTTTACGTTCAAATTTTTTATCCAAAATATGTTTTTGCTTGAATACAATAGAAGTGCTTAAAAATACCATGTATATGAAATCTCTATTTATCAAGGAATTAAGTATCGTAATTATACACAGTTTAAGAGTTGGAATTGATAAGGGTTACCTACAGGCTTCACATGTGTCATAAGTCATAACAAAATCTTAAGCAATTATTGCTTCAAAGACTTTAGAATCTTATATCCCAAACCTAATATGGTGGCTATAAATAAATTAAAAAAATTCGAAAGAAAAGAAAGATGTATACAGTACAGCTACATTAGGCAAATGGATTCACTACCAAATCAAGGGCATGCAAAGACTTTAGAATTTGCCTGAAAAAGAGACTGTGAACAAAGCATTATATAGAGTTTTAGGGTTTCAGTAAAGCATAATGTGCCTGTGTTGTGTTTAGCCACTTATGGTTATTTTCATAGCTAAATCTTTTTCCAAAAGAAAAAGAAAATTTTGAAATAGGATTTTTTATTTTCAAAATTTGGACTGACCCTTCATTTGTTGTGTTCCAAATCAACACGTGCTCTGTTCCATCCTGGTTTTACTCTGAATTTGTGACATTTAAATATACAATGTCACTACCAAAAATTGTATCACTATTTGGGTATGAATCTTCTTGAACTTTGCTTATGTGACGTTAAAATATATACCTACACTACCAAAAATTAGTTGGCCAACTCAACTCTTGTCACAAGAGTATTACTTTCTAGTTTAAAAAAAAAAAGAGAGTTATAAGTAAAAAGAGTTAAATAATTATGTCTACCGGTACATAGATTTATAAGTACATTGCTAAATCTATGTTCACCGGTACGAAACAGGAAACCTGGTGATTAACCAGCAGTGCAAATTATTAGCCGCCGTACTTCGGTTTAGGACGAATCTCGAGGACAAACCAACATGCAATAACCTTACGATTAAAAGAGACTACCAGTCGTGTTTCATGTAATAACAAAAAACTAGAGCAAAGAGACATACTAACCCTTGGACCAAGTCCACTGGTCCTTGGTATAAAACTATAACCACATGAAGATTTTATAATGTTTTTAGAAGTTAGGGTTTTGTAATATATAAAGGTTGTCTATTTTTGATTGGTGAACGTGTCGTGGAGTCGTGCTAGGCCCCCTCTCAAAAGGTCATGTGTTAAGGTTAGATCCTCGTATTGTTTTGGTTTTGTTGAGAT